TATATATACAGTAGAGTTAAGGGAGCAGGAGTCTTTGGGCTGGGCCTTTTCAGAGCAGAAGCAGCAGTTGTGGGTGTTGGGGCAGCAGATTAACAGCAACCTGATTTTCACACTCAAAGCTGTTCAACACAAGACTGGTGCTTTGTTTTTAAAATGAGAGAGATGTTTCTCCAAAACTCACARGAGCGGCATAAAAAGCCTTTAACTTACAACCCAAGTTTCAAAGAAAAGTTGGGATATTTTGTAAAATGTAAATAAAACAAAAATGCTACAATTTGCTAATCTCATAGACCTGTTTTTTTTTTACTCACAATGGAACTAAGTGAACATGGAAAAATGGCAGCAAAATCTTTAAAAACTTTRGGACAGCATCCCATCACCTATAGTTCATAATATCTGAGTTCTTAGACGTTTACAGCCTCTAGTTAAAAGAAGAGCAGATGCTTCATGGTGGGAAACCGCTGGAGCAACTTTAAAGAGATGTTGCTGCCATCGAATTTAAAATTACATTTTTGTTCACAACATTACACAATGTTCCATTGTGATTGAAAAATAAAATAAAATTATATAAACCAGTGGCCCTGCGACTTGAAAGGAGAGGATGTAAAGAGGATGGATGGATGGATGGATGGATGGATGGATGGATGGATGGATTCTTTAATCTGTACATTTTACACCATGTCCTAACTATTTTTGAAATGGGATTATGCATTAAATAAGCATTTGTACGTGATCAGTCAGATTTTGTTCTGATTTAAAAATCACCAAGGAGATTACCAAAGAGTTGACATGCAACATTTGGTTCAAAAAAGAAATATTTAAAAAGATAAATAAATAAAATTAAGCGGCAGTGACACTGGATGTCCACAAGAGGGATGGTAATATCCAGTCCCWGTGGTTGTACCTCCTTCTCCTCATGGTCCTCCTCTCTCTCGGTGTTCTTCCTTTGTGGTGAGCAGTGGTGTGAGCACATCTTGTAGCTGAGTTATATGCACTGTTCTTGACCCCTGACCCCTCCTCCTCCTCACAATACTCTGTCTTTCCCCTCACTATTTGTCTCACAGATGAACACAATGACACATCCAAAAACAACAAACAGAGCTGTGCAGGAGGGGTGAGGAACACATACTCCACATTATGTACAGATTTAGTGACACAGCATCACTGCTCTGGGTTGTGTAGCAGAAAGGTAGGCAGCATGGCAACACTTAATGCCTCATTTTATCTCCATGTTTTCTGCAGTKGGTTCTTCTGAGCCAGTGAAGGTGTGGTTTGATTTTTGAGCATCGCTTTGTTTCCGTGTCTTGTTTCAATTCTGTGCCAAGAATCATTTTAAGTTTGTCAAACAGCCGTCAACATAAAAAAGAATTATGTTCTTTGTAATTTCCTCTCTGCTTTTGGTGGATATCTATTCATTTTATTGAGTTGTAATCTTGGTTTTATCTGCTGGGATGTCTTGTAGCTGAAACCCTGGTTGTGTGTGGCATGCATGTCGCCATGCTGAAGTCAGGCGGTGCATTTTCTTTGCACTTGTGCTCACAGGTGATGTGCTGGGTCTTCAAAAGTGCACAGCTCATCTGTTTCCATTATTTTGTTCTAATTCTGTAACAGATAGGGAAACATTTATCAGGAAAAATATAAATATGTTTAGTTTCCTTCTTTATCTGTGATATGATCTGTGCAGTCATTAGACTTGCTGTTTTTGGATACTGAGGAAAGATTCATAGAAAAAAAAATTTCATGTGTTTTTATTCGTTTTGTTTTTGTGCAACATTTTATTGGATGACCGCTTTCTTGGCCAGGTATGAGATGTCAAAACAACAGTGATGGGCACAGTTCCGCTAATCCACAAATAGCAGAACTAGCTTTGTTTAGCAAATTCACTTTTTTGCTAAGACTGAAAATTGTTAGCAGACTGATTAGCTTTCCTCTAAATTATTGTCCACTAACTTTAAGTCCAGCAAAAATAATAATAATAAAAATCACAATTGTTAAACTTCTATTTTTATGCTATTTATTTAAAATTCAATTAAAACTATCCCAGCAGTACTGGACGTGTCAGGAACCTTGAGTGTAGCCTGCAGTGTTTTTAGCAGCTAAACTTCAAACTAAGAGCAAAAAAGAAAAAAAAATCATTTTACAAAATTTAAATAACATAAACAAAAATGTACTATGACGAAAATATGGCAGAGAAAGTATATGCTATTTGTTTGACTAACTTCAAATGATATTGATAACAATACAAACTTCATCAAAGAAATGCTTTTATTCTGAAAGTGTTACACTGGAAGTATCACAAGTTAGACAGAGCTATAACTCTGGTTTGGACTGGCTGACATGCCACAGATGATCCCACTCASCTTCAGATTAAACCAATCRAAAACTAACAGCAGGTTTCCATCAGTCCCACCAGTTTTCTACTGGAAGGAGATGATTGGCTGTGTCCAAAWRCAGGGGCTGCATCCACCTGTCCAGGCCCTTTGATGACTGAACACTTGAAGGAAGTGGTTGTGAATTTAGCTGGTCTGAACTTCGCTTTGTTCACGCCATCACCCTGGCATACAACATAACCCATACAAATGAATCTGGTAAATTGATGTTGTTAAACCGATCTGCTGTATTTGCACTAAACTGACGTATGCCAGGACACATGTCCTTTCGCCTATAGGCCAGAGGACATATGCTAGGGTGACGGCATAAAACAGAAATGATCAAATGAGCTAAATAATAATACATTAATGTTTTTAATATTGTAAATTAACAAAATTGRCTTAAAGGCAGCACATAAGAAAACTAAGGGAACTAAGTAAGTAAGAACTTGTTTACGGTGATTTTTGATAAGAACATTAAATAAACATGTCTATGCAAATGACAACACAAACGCTTTAAACTTTCAGTTTTTGTACTGCCAGATTTTTACACCTGACTCTTACTTTTTCAAGAAAAAAAAGAAATGTCCCAGTCAGCTGGCAGTGCATCTTGGGATAGGGTGGGCAGTGAAGTATGCACTGGACCTGTCCCTCAAATAGACCATTTTACAGTTAAAAAATGTTCCAAATGCACATATGTGAAGCAGCTGCACTCACATTTAGGTCATATAAACACTGAGGCAACCCATACAAATTAATTTGGCAAACTGATGTTATACAGATCTGCTATATTTGCAGTAAACTGATTTATGTTAAACTTTCTTTTAAGATTATAGATGAGAATTTTCATTGATATCTTTTAAGGTAGAAAATATTTTTAAGCTTAATCAATTAGCTCAATTCCTATTGTGTTTCCAGCCAAAGCTCTTTGCTTTTATTCACTGACATATGATCCAGAAAAGTTAGGTTCTGCTACGTGCATGCACTCAAAAAACTATGAAATGGTCTATCAGGGTAAAAGGAGGATGCATTTGTGGGATGCAAATGGAGGAGTCAAAATTTGGACAGACTTCGGTGTTTCGCTTTGACTCCATTGGCCTTTGAAGGATGCAGCCCCTGAATTTGGACGTGTGGCACGGACTGAGTGACGGTCATCTTAGCGATTAGTGTTAGCTTTCACCATTTGTTTAATCTGTTTAGTGTATTAACATTAGCGGAGCTAAGATTCTTGTTTAGTGGATTAGTGGTTAGTGAAGCTAATGTTTTGGTTAGCTGTGCCCAGCACTGCAAAATAACAACCAAATGTTCCAAAAGCTGATTTTTGACATCAACACTTCAATGTGTGTAAATTTACTGTCCTGACTAGTACCCTAACATTATCTTATTATTATTATTATTATTATTATTATTATTATTATTATTATTATTGTGTTCTGACATGTTTTACCAACAAAGCAAAACCTTTGAAAACAGGATGACAGCATTTTCCAAATGTGAGCCTCATAAAACTTTATTAATATGATGTAAGTGCTGCTATTTAAAAAGAAAATGCTGTAGAAAAAGCACAATGAGTTGTCTCAAACTGAATACAGTTTTCTTTTTCTGCCTGATGTTGAAGATGCCAAGAGAAGATGAACTGCACTGTTTACCTTTTTGCAAACTTCTGAATATTCTAAAATCAGATGTAATTTTTTATATAAATCAACAAACAGCAGATTCACTGTAGAAAAACTTTTATTTATTCAGTTTAACTGATAATTGAAGGTTATTTACTTTCATTTTAAAAAGTCTTTCCTAAAACTTATTTAAGTTTCACAAGATTATTGAATTATTGATTTTAATATTCAATATTCAAAGGCTCTCCACTGTAACGATATGAATTTGTTCTGTTTGACTGTAAAGAAAAATGGTGAGGACGTTTTTCAAATTATTTTTCTTTGAGGTCATATTTCTAAAAATACTTTTATGATCATTTCTTTCGAATGTTTTAAGTCTGACTTATTGTCTCATTTTAAGTCACTATAATCAAAGCGAGAATCAGAATGCCAGCTTTTAAAAGTGGGCTAAATGTTAGTCCAATAAATTCAGATGAAAATGCCAAAATGGGTAAATTAATTTCCCTTTTGATATTTTATTTTGCCAGCTTATAGTTTATTTTTTTATCATTTTGTCTTTATTTGAAAATCCTTAAAAGATTGATAGATGATGTCTCAAAAATTTGACTCCATGTAGTCAAAATTGTTACATGTTATTGTAGTTTAAGGTTCCCAAAGCTGGGGTCTGGACCATAATGTGGGTAATGGATGATTAAGAGGGGCTAGATCAAATCTACAGTAGGGATCCCCGAACAAAAAACCATGACCCTGATCCAGACCCAAATGAAGTCTTATTTGAACCCGGACTGATTCCAGTAAAAATCAGTCTGGGTTTACAGGAAATTTCTAAATTACATATGTATTTGTGTGCGTGTGTGTGTTTTTACTTGCACATATTTAAGTAATTTATTTTATGCAGCACAGCTTTTCTAGCATTTTAAGTCATTTCATTTAGTTTGCACAGCTTTCGTAGACATCTGCTACATCTGATCCACAATAGAGAGGCGCAGGCCTGAAAAAGCATTTGGACTGTTTTTAGGGGTGAAGAAATTATGTGGGCCTAACTAAATTTGAATTGAACATGTAACATTGTTGGTATTATTTGGAGCCTTACCTGCAAAGAACTACAAACAGTGGTCACAAATAGGTAAAACTATTAGAATTGATAAGATAATAAGCACTGATTATTTACCTGAACCAGCAATAGTTGAGATCACGTGGTTTAATTTTGCGTGTTGAAAGTTAAARACTTTGGGAACCACATCATTTAGTTTTTTGACATTGTGAGCTTTCAAAATATGTCACTTTAAATTTTTACATTTCTATACATTTATTTGCTTTTTCCATCATTTTTTTGTATTTCATTGCATTGACTCAAACATTTGAGCAAGCTTAAATTTTGTGTATTAGTTTTAAACGTGTCAGGAGGTGAAGTGAAGAGAGTGTGGGGTCCCGATGTCATTTATTCTCGTTTTTCCCTTCAGGAAGACCAATCAAATGAGATTTTACTGTGTTGAAACTGTGCTGTTTAACTAAAAGATTACAATTATTACCGCTGCAAATGAATTGAGATGTCTGTTCAAACTAAAGTCAGTTGCTCTGAATCATTAACATTGTGTTTGTGAGAACTTAAAGAGGACTGTTCATTTGATTGCTAATTATGTTGACCTTTTTCTTGCAATGAATTCTGTTATTTGTTTCAGGAAAATTGTGCATGGATTTCAAGCTTTAGTTGAATGTTTTTATTATGTTTTGTTTCTTTTTGTTTTTGAGGGGGTGTAACAAGTAAATAAAAGATGTTTGAATGAAAAAAAACAGTGGGCATGTTTGTTTTTTTAGTGAGACTGGGCAGGAGTTTGTATGGAAGCCCATTTCCGCCACCCTGATAAAAAAATAAAACTTGTATCTCATAATTATGATAGTATCTCATTATTATGAGATACTATCATAATTATGAGATAGCTACGTCATAATTATGAGATAGGTATCTCATAATTATGAGATACTATCATAATTATGACTTAGCTATCTCATAATTATGAGATACTATCTCATAATTATGAGATAGTATCTCATAATTATGAGATAGCTAAGTCATAATTGTGAGATACAAGTTTTATTTATTTTTTTATCAGGGTGGCGGAAATGGGCTTCCATAAGTTTGCATTGCAACGTTTGATGTTGAACTGGGGGGCGGGAGGTGAACCGTTACTGATGTGTCTCTGCACCAATAGGAAATCGGGAGAACATATGCCTGCTGTCCGGATTGGTTCGGGGTGCAGAGCTCTGCGTCGGAGAGGTTCCGGCGCTGATTGGGTGCAGCGTGGAGCCCAGAGAAGGACCAGGCCGCTGCTGGGAGGCTGATGCGCTCCACGGGGAGCTTGGAGGCGGACGATGCTGCAGCGTGGTGGTCGAAGTTTGTAGCTTTGTGCGCGTGGACGCAGGACCCTGGCTCATCCTCAGGTGGATCGTCCACTTCGCCCCATGGATCGCGTCCATGGACGTCTTCAAAGCCGCTGTGGACAACAGCCTGAGTCCCAAGGCGGCGTCGCCGTGGAAGGACGCAGAGGCAGATGTGTTCCGCTGGCCCGAACCGGACCGTCATGGCAGCGGCTCCGCGCAGGATGCGGAACCCGCCGTCTGGACCGCTGTGTTCGACTATGAAGCCACCGCGGACGATGAGCTCAGCCTCCGTAAAGGAGACCTGGTGGAGGTCCTTTCCCGGGACTCCCTGGTGTCTGGAGATGAGGGCTGGTGGACCGGTATGATAGCGGACCGAGTTGGTATTTTCCCATCTAATTATGTCAGCAAACGGTGCAGCGTTAAGGAGGAGATGGGCCTGCGGGAGACCGAGGAGCACCCGGTTCCTCCTCTGCACCGTGAGTATCTTCACTGTGCTCCTCATGACTCAGCACAGGGATGGGTCCTCCCTGCTGGTTAGGGTAGGGTTAATAAACACTGTGCAGCATCCAGGCTGGCCCAGCATCCTCAGCTTCAGGACCAGTAGCAGCAGCTCACTGATGATTTTACATTTTATAACTAGTTCTTTAAGGAGAACAAGAAGTTTTAAAGTCATTTAAACATTTTGTTTGCATGTACCACAGCACCTGAGCTGCTTCAGATTCTGGCCTGATTTCACACACTTGAAATATTCATCAAGGTCAGTCACATCCTTCTCATTGTTCCTGAAATAACCTGCAACATGGATGATATTTTTGGCTGTCCGGTCA